TAACAACTCAATTCAGAGAGGATTTCTCCTAGACATCCTATAATAAGACCAACTAAAATCAAGGACAGAGGCTGGGGAGATGGCCAGTGGGTAAAGCACTTGCCATGTAAGAATGAGAACCTGAGGGTGGAACACCAGGACACAAGTAAAGCTAAAGTAGTAGAGTACAGATGAGGTGGAAACAGGAGACTTCCCAGAATCTCATGGACCAGCCAATTTGGCAAATACCAAGAAAGTCCATTTCAGACAAGGTAGAAAGCCAAGACTGACACACAAGCTTGTTCTCCAATTTCCACACATGCACTGTTGCATTTGTGTTCCCATATCCACAAATATGAATGTACACACACACACACACACACACACACACACACACACACACACAGAGAGAGAGAGAGAGAGAGAGAGAGAGAGAGAGAGAGAATACTTGTGTGCATGCAAACAAACAAAACACACCAAAAAGTTTTAAGATTTTTTATTATTTTTGTTTTTTAAATCAAGGACAATAAAATCAATACAAGAGTTAACAAATCACATACAAAAGAATCACAGATATTTAATATCAAATTGTCAAATTCAGGCAAGATAGCTACTCCAAAATCTCTCAAGAAAACAGCCTATGAAAAGACACTATGTGCTTTAACACAGCTAAAAACAAACAAAAAGTAGAATATTCCCAATTGGGATTATTGGTATTCGGGTCATACTCGGGTTTGGTTTTATGTTTATGTTTATGTTTTGCTAAAGCATAAATTCTATCTCCAGACCTATGAGACCATTATGTAAACTTTCTGTACTTAAAGATATGTAAGTTTATTGGGGATGGTTAAAAATCTGTAACAAAAATTAACTTAAACCTTATAACAAAAGGATTGATAGTTAAAAATCTAACTAACTGTAAAAGGATATGTGTCTAATGGCCTCACTTTGGAATAAATAATAACCATGTGACTGGCAATCATTTTTCTTGATGACCCCAGGATGATGAAATAAACTATGTGTATGGCAGCCATCTTTACTAAGGTTAAAGAGGGCATTTGCCATTGACTTCAACATCATCTTGATTTAGTTGACCTTGTGGTATAACCCAACTAAGGAGGCAACATTAGTTCTACAAGACATGTTGGATTAGGGTGGATTTTTTATATGATAATTTTTGTCTGGAGATTAATAAAATGTAAATTAAAAACAAAAAACAATATATGTTTCATAAATAAAATATGCCTAACTAAGATTTATAAATTCCTAAGGGTTAACCAAACCAAAGGTGGGGACAATGACAGAAGACTTCTATTATCATGTATAAAAGGTAGATAGCAATTATATCCCTTAATCCTAAAGACACTCCATAGCTGCACTTACTATCTAGCCTTCAGGATGAGTGTAAACTCCCCTGGACCCAAGTCTATTGTTATTTAGATAGGGGCCATTCACCACTGAGGCCAGGACATCTTGTAAACATTAGCTGATATCTTAAAGACTGATATCTTAGGAATCCAGGCTCTCTGAACTCTTGGCAGGATGGAATAGATTTCCAATATACAGGCCTGACACATTAAAATAAAACTTGGAAAAGGGCTACTCAAGATGGAGGCATGTGACCTCCTAGTGACTAAGACAAGATCAGACAAGCATGTGTTTGGCTGTTATGGCTGCTGAAATGGGGAGCTGGTCCCTTCATTCCCCCACTCAATGCAGATGCTTCGATTGGTCTTTTCTAGCCATCCGCCATGGTGGGAGGATGAAAGACCTGAGCTAACGTGGGGTTAGCTCCTTATACAACTATAATAAAGCCTCGTGCAGTTTGCATCAAAAAAAAAAAAAAAAAAAAAAAAAAAAAAAGATGGAGGCTGGGACATGTTTGAAAGGTTTACTCCATGGTTAACAAATTTTCCCTGGGTAAAGCAGATGTTTATTTTATTTATCTTACTGCATTATAGCTCCTAATGCTCATTTTTGGATGTCAAGGACAAACTTTATAAAAGCATTTAAAATCAAATTTCCAAGTTTAAACCATTCTCCTAGAGACAGTGGGCATGTTTTAGGCTACTTTAATTATGTAATCTCATAAAAAAGAATCATCTTTGTTAAAATATTAGCCATACAGGCTCAGTTTCAACCTGTACCTCTGCAGGAATCAATAATTTGATTATGTGATCTAGAGCCAGTGGAGAATGTGAAACTCTATCTAGAGGACAGCCCTGAGAGCAACCTGAGGCCCCTAAGACAACACCAGGAACCCCAGAATGAAAAGAACCCAGAAGTTCTCCCACACCTGAGGAAACTCACTCCATATGAGCACATTGTGGCCTTTGCCTTTAAAGGCAACCATCCTTTTTAACTGGGTGTCAGTTCCAAATCCCACTATGAGAACCAAGGATAGTTGCAAGCTTCAATAAAAGTTCAGTTAATTTCAATTTAAATTGAGTCTATGGTCTCTTTGTGTTTTCTGAGTCTATGATACAGGAGGTAGGGTTTTTTTTCTAAGAAGACTTAGAAATAAGATTCTAATACTTGAACCCAAGAGTCTTTATAAAGACACAAACCAAATATCAATGAAATAATAGGAAGTAAATATCAATGAAAAAGTAAGAATTTTCTACAGGGGACTTTGAGATGAAAGCAAATTGAAGGCACTGCATTAACAGTTCCCTTGTAATAACAAAGCAAATTAGGAATTTACTGTTTTTCTAATTTCCTTACACAACATAGAGCTGAGTTTCATGCTGTCACTCATATAGGTCTTTATTCTTCTGCTGGTTACCTTTTTATGAAGTTGAAGAGGTGAGGGCACATACCTCTTATCCCAGCATTTGGGAGGCAGAGGAAGTTAGTGCTCTGAGTTTGAATACAGCCAGGTTTACACAATAAATTCGAGGACCACACACACACACACACACACACACACACACACACACACACACCTGTGTTGAGAAAAACATGGACCTGGACCTAGAGACATGGACAACATTAGACACTAAAAATATGTCTGCTACACAACGGTGGAGAATCTGAGAGAAGCCACTTCTGAATTGGTGTGTCTGTTATGCTGGCTACATCAGAGCAAGCAGCTTGATCAACTCTGCTGTTAGGAATTGATGTAGAGAAGAGCTGTTGTTCATTCCAGGATGTGAGAATTTGTCTTATTGCCTGGCCTCCAGGGGGTAACTGGTGTGGCTGGATTTGGACTCTGATCTTCAGGCAAACTTTGTTAGATTGTAAACAAAATATAACCACAGTTTTCAAATGTGTGGGGTTTTTTAATGGGTTTTGTTTGTTTAAGTGTGTGTTGCCCCATGTGTATGAGTGTCTCAAGCTTTTCCTTTTTTGTTTCTTCAATTTATTCCTGTTTGTTTGTTTGTTTGTTTTATTTGCCTGCTGGTTTTCTAAAGAGACAGAATGCATTGAATTGGAGTGGTGGAGACAATCAGGGAGGAGACTGAAGAGGGAAAACAGTGATCAGAATATATTGTAGGAAAAGAACAGTTTGAATAAAAGTGTCAGAAACAAAGAAAGAAAAGTTGATGCTGTGTAGGAAGAAACAAGTACTGAAAGCTGTGGTCATCTTGGGGTTCTGCATTGCTGTGAACACCAATGTGAAGTCTGTGAAGCACAGGGGAAAACATGGCATCCTGAGATCACAAATTGTTCCTGTCAGGATAATGGTAAGAGTCCAGGATGAACTTTGGAACTCAATTAAAGATTTAGGTGTTGGTGAGGATAGAAAGAAGGTTGTGGGTTAGGAGGGCAGAAAAGAAGCAGGAATAGCCCACAAAGATGTCCTTGATGTCACCAAAGTCACTTTGCAGACTGTGACTCATCAGTGCCATCTCTAGTCCTGTTTCCTGTGCAGTTGCTGGGCAAATACACATGATGTTTATGTCAGAAGGATCAAGTTCATGAAACACTGCTTGGAGAGAAAGACCTTGAGTCGGGGCATGATGTAGTAGTCATGTGTTTATGCCAGGAAACCACTAATACAGAATGTGCTAGCATTACAAAAGTCAGTGGGAATGACAAGAACTTATGAAACATGAAATCAATGCCAGAGAAAATTATAAACTTTCAAAAATTATGTAAGACCTAGGAATCAGTGCTTGTTTGTTAAATTTATGAAGACCTATTAATACTACATATTAATAAAAATGCAAAATGAGCAATAACAAAAGTATACCAGGAACTGAAAATTATTCTTTCCATGCAAATGGAGTAGTATTCATACAAAGATGCAAACAGCATTTCAATGGAATATCATTTTCTTCCTATCACCTTAGAAAATGTATCTTTAAAATTATCTAGCTGGGTGGTGGTGGCACATACCTTTATTCCCAGCACTTGAGAGGCAGAGGCAGGTGGACCTTTGTGAGTTTGTGGCCAACCTGGTCTACAATGTGAGTTCCAGGACTTCCAGGGCTACACAGAGAAACCATGTTTCAAAACATGTAGATATCCTTAACATACATTGCTTGTGCAAAGCCATAAAGACTGGAGGAATCCAATGAATCACATCAAATCCCTGTGAGCAAGGCAGACTGTGGATGAAACTGTGCTTTTGAGGACACAGAAACTCTACCTCAATCTGATCCTTCATGCACATCAAGCCTTACATGGTGAAGAGTCCTGGTACAGGGCTCCTGACCCCACAATACAGGAAGGAGTAGAGAAGAAAGTGTAAAGTAATAACCAAATGAAGATATGGCAAGTCAAACTTATTTGATTATTGAAAGGGTATCCTGAGATCTGACTTAGTATATGAGCTCCTCTTCACCATTGAAATGACTTCTAACCTGTAAACAAGACTTCATGTATATGGATTTATTGAAGATTCTGTTGGATCGCTCAGGAGAGTCTGGCTGAACCACATAGAAAGCACCAAGGAAACATAAAAACAGATTGTTTTTCTGCAAGGAAATTTATTGGAGAAGGAAACAATTGAGGCTAAGTACAAAGTAATGACAGATCATGAGGTCTCAGAGAACATGGTGATCTTGTCTCTGGTCTCAGTAGCAGCAGAGTGTTGCTTGAAATGGACCTATGTAGCAAACCCCAGAGACCTTTTGAGAACGCTTGCAACGTTTTATTCTACAGTTGCATCTCAGGTCTGCTGAGGCTGAGGAAACAGAGAACACAAGGCATTAAGTAAGATAGCCAGTAGTATGCAATAGTGTCCAATACTATGAAGATCATGACACATGGTACAGAGGATGTTTGTTAGTATTGGTGACATCACACCCAGCACTATTATCAACTCCAAACACTGGGAAATAATACATTTAACAAGTGGTGATAACATGAGAGCCTTGACAGACAATTTGGTTCCTTCACTTTTTGTGTCATCCTGATCCAACACAATAATACACTGGCATTTGGTTCCTAAATCTATTCTTTTAAGCAAAGAAGATTGTCCTTTCTATAACAAAATTATCAACTGCATAGACAAAGGGCTAACCAATGTGTCTTATATTTTGAAACTGTTCCACAGATCAAAAAACTGAAAAGAAAGAAAATCAAATATACTTTTTTGACTCTCACTGTTACTTCTATGGATAAGACTGAGATGATCATGGAGGATCAACAGAGAAACCTTCCCGAATAACACATATCCCCACAGGATTCCAGGGAACCTCTTCAAGCCTGTCTTAGGAGACCCAAACCCACTATCACACTGGGCATCACCACTCACCTTGACTTTGAAGAACAGAGCCTTCTGGGCTTCCAAATGAGATAGACACATCCTGGTCCTCTACTCCTGGCTGCTCCTCACTTTTAGCCTCCTCAGTTGCTTCTGGCAGAGGATCAGCCAGGGCCTTAAAGGCCAGCAAGACAAGGGCAGAGAGGATGACAAGTCTCTTCATGGCTGAAGGGTGAACAACAGCCTAAAGTGTGTGGGGAGTGAGGAGCCAGGCTGCATTTATAGGGCTCTCATGAGAAGTTGCAGACACAGGTTCTGTAGGGAGAGAGGGCACACACTGATGGGAACTGAGAGAGACTGTTGCCCTCAAGAGCCCTTTGATGTTCCTCTGTTCTCACAGCTGCCACCATGATGTTGGTCTGTGTGTTCAGTGACAATCCTCCCTGCCAGCTGATAATGATGAAGGGGCCTTGCTATATTCTCCTGTTTCCCATCTGCTTTAGTATTTACCTTCCTGTCTCAGAAAAAAAGGAGGTGGGCATTTCAAAGTTACTAAGCTCATGGAACAATGGGGTTTTGTGTTCTGAAGTAGGAGCCTGATGTTCTCAGAAAGTGGACCCTGGAGCAGACCTGAGTACCTGTGGATTGGACAGTCAGTTTCTTTAATAATTCTGGAGTATTTTCAGCCTCATAAAGGAAGACTTTGTGAATCCCCTCCTTTGCAGCCATTATGGAGAATGTAAGATGGCCCTGATGAATCTAGCTAAAGAGGAGCTGAGGGACAGAGTGGGTCAGAGTGAAGCTAGAGCAGGGTGTTGTGAAAAAGCTGGTGTGACCTGAGCATATCTCATGAGTGCATTCCAGATGCCTCTTCACACTTCAGGAGCCATTAAATGATGTGCTGTGGGTCATGTCTCAGATTCTGCATTTTTATAAATTTTTTTAATAAAATTTTAACTTACATCCAAGACTCAAAATGTAGAGAGGTTGATGTGCTTTGCCCCAATCCCAGGAAGTGACTCTTCTCCAAGAAGCCACTGCCATACATATAGTAACACTGTTCTGTACATGTTTTCATCCACTTTCCTCATTATGTATATGGCAAAAATATACAGAACTCTCTACTAACTTCTGTCAGCATGTGGTGTCTCAGTGATACAAGTGCTAGCTCATATTTGCATGTTGATAAATACTGTTGCATTGTTAAAATGTTTTCATTTACAGCTGTGTGAAAAGGCTATCAAAGTACTAAGTATACTATTTTACATGCAAACACCTATTTGCATATAACACACACACACACACATATATATCATCATATTGCCTAATGGGACAAGACCTCTTCAATAGCTTTGTAGACTTATATTTATCAGTCAAAAATTGTATCTTATATTTCAAACACATCCATTACTATCTTACTGATCTTCAGAGTTTTTCTCAGTAACTCTGAGTAAATTTACATACCCAAAAGACCACCGTGCTCATTTGAATTATTTATATTGTTGTTTCTCACTTGCCATTTTTACTTCCAGTCTTCAGCCCATAACTGGTCATTGATGTCCAAGAATATCTCAAACCATTAATATATGACATTTAAGAAGAATGCCCTTTTAAATTAAGGGAATATTAAGATCTATACTCTGAAATGGGTGGGGGTGTGATCACTCCTGCACTTGTTTTTGTCACAAACCAGTGTGCAAAGTGTCAACAGAACTCACATTTTCCCTTATAATCCACTCTTTTTCTTTAGCAGTTATCATACTTGTGATTTTTTTAGGCTTGTTATATCTGGCAAAAACCTTTTCTTCAGGTATTTCTAGGGAGTATAGGTCATTCACTGGTGGGTTCACATCTAATCCTCGAGGAGGAAAATTGCAGAGGTGGAGACCCAGGAGAAGCTGTGGAGAGACCATCTGCCAACAGATGTCTTCCAACCTTTAGCCAATCTCAGGTTCTAATCAAGGAAAACAAATAATCCCAATAAATGACAGAACTTAGCACTATAAAATGCAGAAGTTAAGGTGGAATATAGGGTGGTGGTGAAATACAAGGGATTTGGCCACAGCCCTCTTGCCTAATCTTTAGTGTCTCTGAGTAAGACAATTAGCCTCTTCTAAGGTCCATTACAAAGCCACGAAATGTTAGTCAACAAAGCAGCCACTTTATTGGGTTGTTGTGAAAACCTCTTATCAGAATAGATAAACAGACCTCAGCAAACCATAAAGATCAGCTAATACAAATATACTCCATATATTATATGCTTTGGGAATGTTAACTGGTATCAAATTTCATTTTTTTCTGTGAAGTCTAACAAAGCAGGCCTGACTTCTATAATAAATAAAAACTTAGAATTCTTACCTCATGTAAGAAGTGGTTAAGTTCAATAGTATTTAAGTGTTTTATCCAATAGTTAATAATGTATACTTGTGAACCTAGCAAGTTTCATATTTTCTAGTTTAAAACACCTCAAGAATCATATAAAATGCCTGGTTTGTTGTGACATTTTTATACATGTATAAATATATATTCATCCTATTCACTTATTTTGCACCTCTCCTTGATGATACCCTTCATGAAGTTATGTACAAATAAAAAAATCTCAAGAACTTTATGGCATTAGTAATCATATTGTTAAAGAGAGATCACACAAAATAAGTAATTATCCAAGATAATAAAAGAGGTTAATGTAACTACAGAAGAGTGAGACATCAGGTCTTGTTGGAACCCAGCCCCCATGAGGTCTTTAAGAATTGTTTTCCAGCATAACCACAGGTACTTCCTGTTTTCCTGTCCTCTCCCCACTGGGATCAATATACTGTTGTGAACCCTTTGACCTGGGGTTTTTGTAAGTTTGTATATAAGGCTGCTCCACAATAAAGGTGAGAGGCATTCTCTCAGAAAGTGGACCAGGAGTCTTCATCCAAATCTCCAGGCTTTCACCCAATGCTCGGACTTAGTGGTGGCCAAGAGCAGCCACAAATGGAGGTTCCACCAAGATCGGGAAGAAAGGGGACCCTGAGAGATCACCCTCAGAAGGCTGGCAACAAGTAAGGAGTTGTGAGGGTGGATTGCAAAAGGTATTAGAAAATAGGTACCTCAACTTCTGAGAGAGTTGCATTGGCAAAAGGTACTAGAAAATAGGTACCTCAACTCCTAAAATAGTTGGATTGGAAAGGCACTAGGAAAAGGGGTACCTCAACTCCTGAGAGAGTTGGATTGGAAAGGTAACAGAAGGGGTGCCTCAACTCCAAAGAGAGTTGGAATGGAATAGAGATCACAGTCAATCACACAAAGAAAGTTTAAAGAGACAAGGTATTGGTAAGATTTCATTTTAGAAATACGGGAAATCCTCCACTAGGAATCCCTCCCCTGTGAGCTGCCCATCAGCAGCCAGCTGACCCAGCAGCTGGTGCCCTTGTCCACTCGAGCCTGCTGTGGGCTCCAGTCAGCCAGTAATGATGTGGTGTGCACAGGCTGGCTGGAGAAATTGCCTCCTGAGAAAAAGTTGGGGCTCTATGCTTGGAAGAAACACTGGTTTATCCTTCAGAGAGGTCAAATGAGTGGTGACCCAGATGTTCTATACTATAAGAATGAACACTCCAAGAAACCCCTGTGGATCATCAACTTAAACTTCTGTAAGCAGTTGGATGTAGGTTTGACCTTCAACAAAAAAGAGCTCCAAAAGAGTTTTATGTTTGCTATCAAGACCAATGAGCATGCCTTCTACCTGGTGGCTGAGACAGGTGCTGACATGAATGTGGGTCCAGAGCATCTGCCAGATCTGTGGCTTCAGTCAGACTCAAAAGAACACTGATGCCATGAGAAACCTTTCTTCAGTCAGTCATAGTTTATGCTCTTCTTCAGCTGAATTCAGCAGCTCCAGTCATCACCTGCTCCAAGCAAGAAAGTTCTCAGCCCTTTTACACTCTAGACAGCTACCTGTGCCAAGCCACATCCTGCCTGCCTTGTCCACCAGTGTACCTCAGGAGTATCAACACTTGCACCAATGCATAAGCTGAAGGACAGAAAATTCAAGGAATTCCAGATTCTCTCGGAGCACAGGACAGGAGAGTGATACAGCCACACAAAAACTTGCTCAAGGGCAATAGACACTGTATCAACAGAGTCAGCGGTCAGGTCCTTGGCTTCTATAGCCTTCTCAAGGCAAGCCAATATAGTGCTTTTGACCTCCCTCATAGCCTGGCTTCAGACAGGACAAACAGCTCTTTAAGGACAAACATTAATAAAAAGACATTTTAAAAAAACATAAACATTTAAAAAACTGGTTTTAAAAAGAAATTTAAATTCCCTTAATGTCTTTCTGTAATATATAGAAGCATTAACATTTTAAATCTTAACTGAAAAACTTGTTTCTAAGATGGTACCTCTAATTTCCATGTGGTCATCTTTAGTCAAGATGACGGTTTAAGTATTTTTTTTTCCACTTTAGCAAAGTGGCTACCAGTCATTTTGTGCCAGGTGGCCGGCTACAAAATGGCGATGACCTTCACCATTTGTTTTAGCTACATACTTGTAACAGAACTTAGGTTATGCCAGGAAACAGAACATTTTAAAACAAGTATACATAATTTACTTGAGAAATAAACAGAACTTTTTAAAACAGAATTAACTTAATATGGTTAAAATTTTTAACTTATATTACCAATTTTTTGAAATTTATTATTTGTAGACATGAGAAACCATAACAAACAGTAAACAGTTTACATTTTTCTCTTTTACCAACCTTTTCTCTGACCTTCTACGACTTGCTTTAACCCTCTATAACTTTCTATATACGTTTGGTTTATTCCTCTGATTTTCTTAGACATTCTTAGACAAATTTCTCTTTTCCTTTCTCTCTTTATTACTTTAGTACATTCTCTTTCATTTCTCAGTCAACATAAAAATTCTTATCAAAGTCCCTTTTATAGTTTTTAATAACTTTAAGGCCGTTTTTTTAGAAGTCCGGATCAGGCCAGATAAGTTCAAAGGCCCCAGCTCCATGTGCTCAAGGCAGAGACCTGAAGGGGAGGAGTGCTGCTGGTAATCCCAGTCCCTCGGCCAATGCAGGGATGGGAAAAAGACCCCCGTGGTCCCTGAGCATACCATGCGTGTGGAGCACACAGCCAGGTAGATGGTGTCCTTGCAGCCATGTGCTCAGAGCAGGGAAACTCCTGCCAAAAGCCAGGACCCACGGCAGGATGGCAGTTGGGGCAGAGACAT